AGAAAATTGTATGCTAGTGGTGGCCACATTCTCATTAGTTTTAAATGAAGACTAAAGCCAGGGGGATGAGGCCAGTACAGATCCAGTGCAGTGAGATCAGCATGATGCAATTTCTCTCTGAGGTAAAATTACTTTGTTCAGCCATTCACAGAAAATCGTTAAGACTATAAATAAGACTCCAAAGACCAATAAAAGAAGCATGAGGGAACAGAAAGATAATTCCACATTTACAATGCCTATATATACATACACATTTATGATCATTGTTTTGGGATTAGGTAAATATTAAGCATCAATTTTGCCAGGTACCCTTTAGTGCTTGTAGTTGGACTTTTCTGTAGACCTCACAGGAGAAATAGGTCTTGGCAAGGCAGTTAGAGAGGGAAAGAATTAGGGAAAGTAGATTTACAAGTCTTTAAAAACACTAAAGTGTGTTACTAAATGCATTATTATAGGTACTGAGAACTAATTAAAGTTCTGCAACAGCCATCAGTTTCAGTGAAGAGATCTCTCTGTTCACTAGGATTAAGTTTGCTCCAGCAGCAAGATTTATGTGAAACTACAGTGAAACAGATTTTAGAACAAGTGTTGGTCGATTCACACATGCTGGTCTTCAGTGTCCTCCTAGAGTGCAACCACTGTGTGCTCCATCTGCAGCTACCTGCAATCTCTTCCAATAACCTAAGTTATTACTACAGCTCAGGCAACAGCTGTAGGACCCCTTTTCAAACAGTACCATCCCATGTCTATAAACACACCCTCTAAATTGGGTCCCAGCACTGTTTTTGCAGAATACTACAAAATTTTGCTCAGGAGATGAAAATGCTGTATCAGTACAAACAACATGAGTCTACAAAGTGAAGTTTTAGAGAACAGAAAAACCTGGATGCAAAATTTTGCCAACACATAAATGCCATTCTTGAGGCATGTAATAGATCTACCTGTCACAAGGCAGATCACATTATTCACTTGCTGAATTAAGTTTGAGGGGGGTCTCTTGACTTAAGAAATGGTTTGCACATCAAAACCAGATATCTACAGTGCTTCACAAAAAAAAAAAAACACCTTTGTCCCTTAAAAGGCTGTTTTCTCTATTATACCAACAATGTATTATAATATTTTCTCTATTAAACCAACAAATTGAAACACTCAACATATATGTTGTTAATATATGAAACTACATTGTTTCAACCGTATCCTCCTCATTTCACACTATTCCCTCTGCTGCTATCAGCTTGCTTAACTTATTGTGAGATATAAATTCCTGATTATCATTAGTTGTGGTTGAGGTACTGTAAACATTTGTAAAGCTAAGCAATAAAATGAAAATATTATAGCAGTATTATTAAAACAAGAACAGGGTGAAACAAACACATGATAATTATGAAAGATACTGGGGTATGTTTGCACAACTTGGGTATATTTTTAGGACAGGGTGTCTTAGTGACAGAATGTATGAGAGAAGAGGAATTTCTCCCTGTTCCACTGAATTATTTTGTTGGCTTTCTAAAAATTCTGGATTAAAGTTTCTCTTATAAGGCAGAAAATATATTTTTCCATCCCACAGGTGTAGTGTGAGAATTACTCATCTGGTACACAAGATAGTTCCCAGCAAATAAATGTGTCACCAGTCATTGTTGGTGTTACCTGTTCCTCACAGCTTCTGTGGCATGACAGCTGACTACAGCTCAGTGGGTGTATCACCAGTTATTATGTGGATGCCTTTTTTTATTTCTGGACAGGTTATTAAACAAAGAGAGAACAAAAAAATCCTGGGTGTTGTGTTCAACTGTAGCTTACATGGTTTTACTTATAGCCTCACTGAGGCTGAGAAGAACACTGAAAAAAACTGGCTTGATGTGGAAATTGATAAGGGTTCAGTTTCAAAACCAGAAATATAGGGAAATTGACTGCCTTTACTGGGTATCCATCCTTGTTTGCAAACACTTGGTCTGCAATTAAAACAAGGAAAGACTTTATAATTGGCTAGGGCAAACACAGTAACCTAAGTAAATAAGTGAAATATCCACACCCATCATATCTCTGGCACTGGTTCTTCAGTTCACTTCCCTGCCAAGCGGTGCCAAAGTCCAAGGAGCTAACATCCCTTTAACTCCCTTTAACTCTTAGTCTTCTCCATTTTTCCTCTGCAACCCTATTAATGGTTAATCTATGCTCAAGATGAACTTGGATGACAAATCTCCAACCCCTATAGGAAGTGCTATCTGATCTGGGCCACCTACCCCTGCAATAGCAATTTATTTTTATTGCTGTCATCAGGCATCCCCCACCCCCAGCTTCAATCCCAATTTCCACAAGTTCAGCAGAGAGCCAGCAGGAAATGCCTTACTCTCACTGTAAAACTGCCTGTGTGCCACAGCTTTTGGAGCAGGCTCCTACCACAGAGGCACAGCTGTGACTGCAGAGCCCAGACACTGGCACAGGGCTCTTGTCATCCCAAGGGTGTACCTCAGCACAGGAAGGAAACCCTTTCCTTGTTAGTTTAATCCTCAGTTTAATCCTATCTTCTACCCATCACTTACAGTTGTAGTGGTTTCTGACACTTCTTGGAGGGTTTTTGCACAAAAAGCTTTTAGAATTAAGTTCTCTGCACGTTTCTTCATTCACCAAAACTCTGCTCTGCCATTCTGCACGCACAGGGTGGGAGTCACTGTCCTCTCTAGCTTTGCACCAGTGACTTTACACACAGCTGAGTGATTCTGAACAAACATATGGGGCTTTAATCATATTGTGTAGTACATTTTACTGGGTATGTAAGACTGTTGATGTTTTAGATCAGCTGGTAAAAAGGCCAGTTTAAAAAAAATAAGTGTTATATAGATGCTTGGTATGGCAAAACCCAGCTGAGGGTCATCTGTTGGTTACTGAACCGAGGAAGCAGAAGCCTGAGCTTTTTCCTTCCCCTGAGCTCCAGAAGATGCAGGGCTTCGTGGGCTTCAGGAGAATGCTGAAGTTCACCTACAGCCAATGACCTCTGGGGGGTGTGGGGCCTCCCTCTCCTTTCACCTGGCTTCTGAGGAAGGACGAACTGAAGTGACGAACTGAGTTGTCTTAGAGATGACCTTCAATGCCCCGAGCACCGCAGCGCATCCCTGACACCTTCGGCCAGGAAATCTGTGCGGTGTGCCGGTGGGCAGCTGCCATTTTTCACCCCACAGGCGGGCCTGCAAAGAGATCAGCACAAAATCCTCCGATGCGCTTCTGCAGCTGAGTCTATACCGTCTAAAAACCCCCACGTTGTTCAACAAGAATATCCTCCAGCTCTCTTAAACGCTATGGATTTGAAATGCCCGCAAAAGCAGCTTGTTTCCCCGGCGTGTACTCTGGTGGCACGGCGGGCTCCTCGATGAGGGGAGGCCAGCGGGGACAGAACCGCCAGGAGCCGACGCATTTTCTGACACGCTTTTAAGGCCCCGAAGCGTGAGGGAGCCGGAGTCCCCGCTCGCACCTGGAGCTCGGCAGAACCCCTTAAAAGACCAGGCAGGCGCTGCTCCCCTCATCCGCCCTCCATAACCAGGCCAGGAATTTTAATCAAAAGCCTTATTGCCGGGGAGGCGGCGAGCGGAACCGGGCCGGGCAACGGCGGCGACCGCTCCCCTCGGCTCGGGGCAAAGCCCGCAGGGTTCCCCGGCCGGACGGGCGGGTCCGCCCGGGATAGCCCAGCCCGGGCGGCCGCAGCCTGCGGGGAGCTGCGCCGCGGCCTCCCCACTCCCGCCCTCTCTCCCTCCCGTATCCCTGGGTCCGCCCGTATCCCTGCATTCCCTGCTGCAGCAGCACCAGCATCCCCTCCTCCCCTCAATCCCATCAGTAGCGGCGGCCCCGGGCTTGGCTCCCCGCGCTGCGGCGGCGCTCGGCGGCGGCTCCCCCCCGCCGCGGCCGCCATGTTGGGCTGCAGCGCGTTCGGCGGCGGCGGTTGCCGCGCGTGACCGCGGGAGGGAAGGAGGGAGGGAAGGAAGGAAGAAGGAGGGAGGGAAGGAAGGAGGGAGCGGCGGGGGAGAGGAGGGCGCGGAAGCGGAGGGAGGGAGGGAGCGAGCCGGGGAGGGAGGGCGCCGCCGCTACCCCTCCCCGTCGCCCCGCGCACGCACACACACACACCCCGCACACGCACCGCCCGAGGATGCCCTTTGCCCGGGGGGGCGAAGCCGGGACACCATCGCGCCTCTGGGAGTGAAGCCACCACCACCGCCGCCGCCGTCGTCGGGGCCTCCCGGCCCGCAGCGTGCGGCCGGAGCGGAGACGCCGGCGCTTTTCCTCCGCCTCAGGACGCGCACCGGGTGGAGGAGGAGGAGGAGGAGGAGGGCGCCGTCTCCGCAGCAGCAGCAGCAGCAGCCGCCGCCGCCGCCGCAGCCATGGGAAGGATTTGACAGGGCTCGGAGCGCTTGTGCCGGTGTGTCGGGGCGCGCGTCCCGCCCGCCGCCCCTTGGCGCAGCGGAGGAGAAGGGGGCGACAATGAAGACTTTAGTTTTTTTGAATCACTGAAAAGCCTTAAAAGGAGACTCGGTAAGGAGGAGGAGGAGGAGGAAGGGAAAGGCTGCCCGGGGCAGGACGTGGCTGCGCCCTGAGGAGGGGGGGCTGCGCCCCACCCCGCGGTGGCCGCGGAGGCGCTGCCGGGGCCGGGGGAGGCGGCGGGGGGCGGCGGGGCTGCGCGGCCCCTCATCCCTCCGTGCCTGCCCGCCGGTGTGCGCCCTCGTTTCTGCTGCCTTTCGCTTATATAAATACGTAAATACATCTGTTTTTCCCTTCCCATCCGTCCTGGGAAGCGGAACCGGAGGGGCTGTTAGCCCGTGGTGCTGCGGCGGGGCTCCTCGCAGGATCGCGCTGCATGATCTGCATTGGGAATGAAGGAGAAGACCTTCTTAAATATGTAACTGCCTGTGCCTATGCACGCACGGTGAAATCGGTGTCAGGCAGTCTCGGTTGAATTTGAGTGCAATTATTATTGTTAAAGCATCAGGAACGCTGTTTTTGCCCCACTTCTTACTAAGCCTATTAATTTTTTTTTTTTTAGGATAACTATTTTCTTCTCTTAAATGTCATGAATTCACAGATATCCACACTGTATGTGTGTGTCTGAAACTCCAAAGGGTTAGTTTCAGGCTGGGAACCCCGAGGTGGGCTAGCAATTAAGGACCGTCACAGTTTGACACTTGTTAAAAATACTGTTGACTTCTTTCTAAACAACAAAACCCTCAAAAGTTTTTTTTTTGTTGTTGTTGTTGTTTTTCTGACAAAGTAATAATAATCATTAAAAAAGAAACCCCAATGCAAACTGAAACAACCATGTCTGGAGAAGTGCGTTTGAAGCAGTTGGAGCAGTTTATTTTGGATGGGCCAACACAGACTAATGGGCAATGCTTCAGTGTGGAAACCTTGCTGGATATACTCATCTGCCTTTATGATGAATGTAATAATTCCCCTCTGAGAAGAGAGAAGAACATCCTTGAGTATCTGGAGTGGGGTAAGTTTGAATGTGTTTATTTTGTGTACATCCGTCCATGTTCCTGTCTGCTTTGTATAATGTCTCTGTTATTTATGTGTGAGAGGGGATTGTTTATAACTCAGTGTTTTACTGGGAAGTGTTGTCAGTTTCACTGTATTTAAATGTGGTGGTGGTGCTAAAAAGAAATCTGTATTGGTTTTTTGTCTTTGAGGTATGCATGTAAAACATGCTTCTTTTTTTTTATTTTACTTTTTTGACATGGATCAGACTTTTGTTCCTAGCATATTTGCTTGCCTTCAGGCCCAGCTGTTGAGTTTGTGTCCTGAAGTTGCTGGGAATATGGAATGGTGAGGGATAAATTCTCTGATGCCTGCAAAAATATCAATGCACAATCCACTGATTTGCTTCTGCAGTTGAATCTATACTGCTTTAAAATAAAGCATGTTGATCAACAAGAAAATCCTTCAACTTTCTGAAATGATAAGGGTTTGAAACATCTGTGAAGATGGAGAAGATGACATTCTCTTCTTTAATATAAAATTGTTGCTGACTTAAGTAGATTGTTTTTTTCATCAGGAGACTCAAAGCTGAAAAGCAGAATGAAAATCTGTGTGTCCCTGGCAGACTTTTCATTTTGTGGGAGATAGGGTATTAGTAGATTTTTAAAGGAAAGCAGGTGAATGATATTGTGCCAGTTCTTCTTAAGTTGTCACAGAACTGGTTGACTCTATTTTTTTTTTCTTTTTAATTCTCTTTCTTCCTCCTCCTAAACTTAGATGTAAACCAGAAGATGCAGTCTGACATAAGAACCTTGATGAGAATGGTTACTGTATCTGACCTTCAAACTTCAAAGTCATGCTGCACTTCTGTATTTGCATACAGAACCATTTACCACATTTGCTTTGTAATAAATACATCAGCAGGCCTCCTTTATTTAAAAAAGGCATATTTTTGAAACATGTAACAGGCATTTGATTAATTAGGTGGTTAAGCTCTTCAAAATGAAGTTGCTGAGGAAAGACATTGTTTTGATAACTGATCTAACAACTTGAGGCTGATATGTGTGTATTTCATTTTCCTGCTCCTCTCTGTAGTCATACTGACATCTAAAGGACATCTGACTCAGTAATTAAGTTTCTTGTAGTGTTCATATTGCACTGTTTTTTGTTTTCTTATTATCTGGAGGAACAGGCTATAATTAATGCATTCTAGCTAAGGAGGAAATAGTAATTAAAAGTACTTCTGAAGAATCTTCCCTCTAAAACTGTCACTGGCATACAGAAGCTGTGAAAGACTGGGAAAATATGATGGCTCCAAGGGTATTTTTTAATGCAGGAACTTGGTGTAGTCTGCAGTGGATCTAGCCAGCTGATAGCCTGTAAATAATAATAATAACAACCAAGTTAACCATATCTAGATGATCAGAGCAACAGCGTGTTTAGGACCCATTGTGTTGGGTTCTGGTGCATTCAGTGGTGGTTGTTTAATGGGTAAATGCATCATTGCAAGGCTCTGACAGTACCTGAAGATTTCTGTAATAAGCTTTCCCATCTGCTGATGGAAATAATACACTGTTTTGGAAAGGCTGGACTGGAATAAGGTTTCTTGCTGGCCTATTTTTCCTGCTATTTTTCCACTCTCATGCTCCAGCTGTGCCTTAGCAGGACTCTGAGGCTTCAGAGAAGACCAGTTATTCCCATTTCCAGGGCTGAGTTGCTGTGGTCCTCTGTGTGCTCCCAGCTCTGCTGTCCAGGCTTCTGCGCTGGGAGCTTTCCAGGAGGGTTTGTGAGGTGACATGGAAGAGCCAGCAGTGGCTGGTACCTGCTGGTGGAAGTGTCTGTGTGAATGATGTCTTTATTCTGCAAACACTTCCAGGGGTGTCTCCTCTGAGGGCCAGCCCTCCTAGTGGAACTGGCAGTCTCTGGCATTCCTCTTGGGATCAGGGAGTTGGCAAAGTCAAGCTCTTAGAGAGGTCGGGTACCCTCCAGTGCTCTGGGGCTGAGGGTACCTGTGCTTTGATATAATCCTGACCTCTCCTATCTCTCTCCCCAGAAGGAGGAACCATGCAAGTGGTTGATTAGAAAGAGGTTATATGTGGTTTTTAAAGTCAGAGATGTGCTGAGTAGTGGCAGAAGTGGAAGGCTGGCAGCCAGAAATCATGGACTCTGCCCGCACCTCTCTAAAGGACTCAGTGTTGAAGTGCTTTCAGCTCAGTTTTTTTTTTAGCTTCTCTATTTGAACAGCAGGAAAAGTAGCACAAATTTTACACCAGGGAGTTCAGAGAGCTGCTGCATGTGAAGCGCTTTTGGATTTGAATGTACCATATAAAAGAGTGTGTATTAATTTATTTTCCCCATCAGTGGAATAAAACTTGGGGCCTGGTGTATCTATTGGTGGATGTCAGTTGGATGCTGGCATTTTGTGGGTTTCTGCCAAATATCCACAGATTGGCTTGATTGTAATGGAGAGTGCAGTGTGAATGTATTGGAACTGGTGAGGGAACTGGTATGAACTGGGATGTGTGTGTATGTGTACAAAGTGCAGAGTACAAATTTACTCCTGAGAACTGATTGTCATCTTAAACTGCCTTTTTTTAAAAATAAATTATTCTTTCTAGAAGTAAATAAGGTTTATTTATAGTCTGTTAATTTTAAGAAAAGGCTAATAAACAGCTGTTCAGTGATCACAGACTCCTGTTGAGCAACAAATAATTTTTTCTTGCTTTTCAGCAGAGTAGTTTTGAGGTGTTAGTCTTTGGTTTTGTTAGTCTTTGGGTTTGAGTTGAGGTTGCATTTGTGCATGTGTGTTTTTATAGAGACTGTTCTGGGTCTGAGATGTTATCTGCTGTGTTTCATGTAAAACTGAACCACAATCTGAGATTTTTGGGGGAAAGGTTTAGGAGGTATTCTACCACGGAAAAGCTAATGTCTTAATGACAGCCATGTGACTGCTGCTATATTTAGGGGAACTAAGAAGCTTCATGTTCTAGTACTTAGATCTTTTAGGGCTACTTTATCAACTTGTAATCTAGAGCTATAACTTATTTAAAAAATTAATCCAGGTAAAAGAATTGAGATCTGAACTAATTGTTCATATTTTGGTTTGATACTGCAAGTTTAACTCAGGAAGTGTAGAAACTAAGGTCTCTACAGTGTGAAATTGAGTTTTAAATTTTTGTAGAATTTCAGCCTTTTTTGTTGCTTGAAATGACATTAGACTAGTTAGAAGTGTCAGGTTAATTATTTTGTGATTCAGAAGCTGCTTTGCTTCTAAAACCCTATCTTTGGCTTTAAGTGAAAACATAATTGCATTCCCTACTCTTATACAGTATTAGTTTTGTGACTTGTTAACAAGATGATTTAATTTTGTTGTTGATATTACATAGGTATCCTTTATGCTAACACAGCCATGGAAAAAGCCAATATATTTGTGTTCTGAGGGTTAAATCAGGGCACATTTTGAGATAACAGGAAAAAACTAGAACATTTAGATTTGGCTTGTTCTATGTATTTGATGCTAGTTTTCATTTTTATCTCTATTGATAGTTGTAATTGTGATTTAGAAAAAGGCTTGTCTAATTATAGCAACTGGAGCTTACCAGAAAAAGCTGTTGAGAATTCCAAGCACTTTGCTTTTTCTTTTCTACTTGTGTGTGAGTTCCCACTCTGACGCAAGAGTGTAAGGGAGGTAACGAAGGCTGATAAGGTGAACTTGAAAGAGAACTGTAGTGATAAAAAGAAGCTTTTGGAGATGTTTTGGTTCTGGGAAAACTTTCTTTCCTTCCAATGGCTCCAGTTTGAATTGCTTTTAAAAAGAAACTAGAACAATGTTCTTTAGGATGCATTGAAAGAATAATAGAATAAACCTCAAAATGTGTGGTGATGAAAGTGAGGGAAGATGGAGGGCACCACCAATACCATGGTGAGGTCAGTGACTTGATTAAATCTGTGCTCTTCTTGGAAAATTGTAAACTGTCCTCTAGTAAAATTTTTGTTTGATTGGTTCTGTTCAGTTTGTTGTTGTTCTTGTTTGGTTTGTTTTTTTGTTTTTTCCCACCGAAGAAAGCTTTGGAAGATGGATTAAACTGTTCTCATTTTGTCTCTAGAAGAACTGAAATGCAGGGTGTTTATGCAGTGCTGATATGGTCATACACTAGGCTGTCATCATTGGTCTCATACTTCTGTTACTCAGTTGTGCAGCATCTGTTCTGGATATTGGAAATGGTTTTATCACCATACAACCAATATTTCAAGACAGAGTTGTGGAGAGGTTGTCTGTGTTATCCTTCTGATGATCTCTCTCATGGTTTTTCTTTTATAAAAAAAAGGTAATCCCCTTTTTCAGCTAGGTTTGTTTTTACATATTAGTTACAAAAGAAAATAAAATCTTATCTCTAGGCTTCTGCACCTTTTCTTTGTTATTTATCTCTATTAGGTCCTGAACAAAATCACAGCCATTTTCAGCTATGAGTTGCTTATGTTTTGTTTTTAAAACAGCTGTTAAAAAACAATCATTCATTTAGGTCCTATTCTTAGCAGACAGTAAAGGACTTAGCAATCAACTTTTTCAAGTTTTGTTGTTTTGTTTTTTTTTAAAGTAGACTTTGGTGCTCAGTACTTTCCAACCTTAGTACTATCTAACCCATCAGAAATACTTTTTTTTCCCGATTACATTCTGAAAGGTATCAACTTCTTTTTATTCTAGTCATAAAAATGGGAATACCTCCTGGTCTGACATAAGCAAAATCAGTTATTCAGTTCTTTCTGGGAAAGGAGAAGCGTCTTGCTTGTCAAGGCCACTTAATGTGCTTAGGCATATTCCTAATTTTAAATGTGAGTTGTTTCATTGCTTGCAGGTGAGCCATATGAACTGATGAGGCTCCATCAATGCAGAAGACATTGTGGCATTCTTGACACATAAATTTCTGACATTGTTTTCAATAACACTTTACTGCTTATTTTATGTAATCTGTTGTTCTGTTACACAGCTGCAGCCAACAATTAAATGCTTTTTATTGA